AACCAGATCAGTGACACTGGAGTAATCGGACATCATGGTCTTCATACGAGGAGAGACAACCAGATCAATGACACTGGAGTAATCGGACATCGTGGTCTTCATAGGAGGAGAGACAACCAGATCAATGACACTGGAGTAATCAGACATCATGGTCTTCATACGAGGAGAGACAACCAGATCAATGACACTGGAGTAATCGGACATCGTGGCCTTCATACGAGGAGAGACAACCAGATCAATGACACTGCAGTAATCGGACATCGTGGTCTTCATAGGAGGAGAGACAACCGGATCAATGACACTGGAGTAATCAGACATCGTGGTCTTCATACGAGGAGAGACAACCGGATCAATGACACTGCAGTAATCGGACATCGTGGTCTTCATACGAGGAGAGACAACCGGATCAATGACACTGCAGTAATCGGACATCGTGGTCTTCATACGAGGAGAGACAACCGGATCAATGACACTGCAGTAATCGGACATCGTGGTCTTCATACGAGGAGAGACAACCAGATCAATGACACTGCAGTAATCGGACATGGTGGTCTTCATATGAGGAGAGACAACCAGATCAATGACACTGCAGTAATCGGACATGGTGGTCTTCATACGAGGAGAGACAACCAGATCAATGACACTGGAGTAATCAGACATCATGGTCTTCATACGAGGAGAGACAAACAGATCAATGACACTGGAGTATCCAGAATGAGCCCGCACAGGTAGTTGCCTGATTAATGACAGTGGTGGGGCTGGAGTGCAATATAGAAGTGAGGTCCTTTTCTGTACATGGTGCTGGGTCAAGTACATTTCCATATAGAAAAAAATGATTTTGGCCAATACCTCATTATCATACACAGAAATCAGTTCCAGAAGGACTCGAAGTCAAAATGTAAAGGGTAAAACAGTAACTTTGTTAGAGGTAAATAGCGTTTCCTTATAACCTTGGGCTAGGTAAGAACCTCTTAAGTTTGAAACAAGAAATACCATCCAAGGGAAAGACTGATAAATTGAACTATATTACAACTAAGAATCTCCGCTCATCCAAAGACCAGTATAAAGACAGCAAAAAGGTAAGCCACTGTCAGAGAAAGTATTTGCAATATGCATCTCCAGTAAATGATTTGTAGTCAGAGTATATAAAGAACTCTACCAAGCAAGCACGAAAAAGCCATGCAGCCTAATTTTTAAAATGGGCAAAGGACTTGCACAGCCACCTCACAAAAGAGTCCATAAACATGTATGAACAGGCATCTGCTTCATTCACGCAGGAAAGCCCCATGCAGTATCACTACATACCCAGCAGATGGCGCCACCGACCAGAGCAAAGAACACCAAGTATCGAGAGGCCAAGAAACAGATGGAACCCTCAGATGCTGCTTCCTGGCCCAGGGCTGTTGGCGAGCTTTTGAACATCCCCAAACCTCACTTGCTGTCTTAGCCTGTGCAGTGGCAATAGTGTGCACATTTTCAGGTTACTGTGAGTCTGCAGGTCACATGAAGCCCTTGAAGAGAACCAGGCACATGGGGGCTCCTTGAATCTTCTTTTCAGGACTAACTGCCCTGCGCTCTCTGCCTATAGGGCCTTCTGGTAGTTACTAGGATCCCCCCGCTCCCAGAGATTATTTAATGAGAACAACGATACCAATAGCTAGCACTTGTATCATACATAGTAACTGCCAGGTTAGTTATCCATGATCTCTCAGCACCACCAAAATAGGTAGATACTAAAGTATTTAGGCGCTGTTGCTGTTCCCATTTTACAGGTGAGATAACTGAGGTGCACAGAGAGAAAGTAACTTGCTCAAGATCACCCAGCTAATAAGTGATGGAGATGTGCTCAGACCCAGGCATTCCAGTGTCTATGATAACGATATGTTCTCATTATACCAGTGTTTGTAATTAACCATATACTCTGGTGCCTCTCAGGAAAGACCAGACTTTCTCTACTTCCTGCTCTGGTTTCGCTGAACCATCCGATCACAACTCCTCCCCTGAAGTCCTCTTTCCCTGACTCTTTGAATCTAGCCTGATCTCTTTTCCATGTTCCTGGAATATTCATTCCTTGGATAATGGATGAATAAGATGAATAAGATGAATAATGGCCCCCATCACAATGACCGTAATCTAATCACAGTGGCAGCCGAGCTTGCTTCTGTTGAGTCCTTGCTGTGTGGCAGGCGCCGTGCTCAGCTCTTTCTGTGCGTGATCCCGTTGCCTCTCTGGAACAACCCAGTGAGAAACCTTGACTGTTCCCACCACTGTGTAGAATCTAAGCTGCAGAGAGGTGAAGCGCCTTGTCCAAGGCCACTGGAAGTGGCAGGGCCAGAGGTCAAGCCCAAGTCTGTCTGCAGACTCCAAAGCCTGACCTCTTCACCATAGCTCTGCGCTGTCACTTTCGTGTCTGCATTTGGATCCTGGCTATGTTTAGTTGGCATGCTTTGATCTAAGTTATGTTCACAAAGACCATACCTGCCCTCTTCAGCATTTATTGCACACCTGCTATGTATTAGACATTTGGGGTCACCAAGATCAGTAAGATGATGGTGCTGACCTTGAGGAACTGAGGTCTAGTAAGGGAGGCAGATCTTTGCAAAGGAGGGTGGGCTGTGCAGTAGCAAATCCATATGGGTACAGAGGTGCCAGTGAGGAGGGAACAATTAAATCCACCTGGCAATGGGGAAGGCTTTATCAAGAGATGCTGAAGCTGTACATTGAAATATAAGTCAGAGTTTCCTGGTTGACAAGGACAGCAAGGACATTCTAAGCAGAAAGCCCCGTCAATTGAAGTCAGACGTGGTCGTAAAGAATTTAAAATTTCCTCTCCTTATTGGGGATCTTCAGGACAGACCCACTCACCTAAGCTGCTGCCTCCCACGGGCTAGGAGTATAATGTTTGATGGTAATAGATGTACACAGAAGAAAATTCCAGAGTGAAGGAGAGTTCGCCCTTCCCCCACATCGCCAATGATGCCTATCACTGGCGGGGTGTCAGGCATATGGTAGCCTACGTGGAGAGTGTCACTGGTAGCTATAGCTAGAGTGGCACAGTGGTTGTAAAACTTCAGTGGGACTGGGGCCCTGCACCAGAAGTCCAATTCCATGGGTCTGGGGCAGCTTCCAAGGGTGATTCTGATGCAGGATGCCTGGGAACTGCAGTTCGGAAAACTGCTCTTCCAGACTCTTGGGGAAGACGCACTTGAGGCAAGATGAAGATGTAGATTTCGGAGTAGGTCCTCCAGCGACTCATCCCGGGGTAGTTCAAGTGCTGTTTGAGTTCCGTAGTCACACAGGGGAACTGGCCCCATACCCCCACCTGAAGCCCCATGGGTAGATTTGGATACAAATGGTTGAGGATTTGTGTTTTGGGGGGGCTCTTCTCATTACTGCATATTAAAAATCACATGCAATTTCTAATTAATTAATTAAATGCTTGATTTTGTACTATGTCTTTAAAGCATATTAATATAACAGTATTAATATATAAACAGTAACAGTATTAATATATAAACCCCAGCTCCTTTCAATAGCAGATTGTTCTTTATTGTGCCATCTTCAAGGTTCTTCCTCTTTATCTCTTGCCCATTTTTAGAAATTGTAGATAGGACAATCCTATCTAGCCCTTTCCTTCCTTGTTCTCACCAGACCCTCAGCTCATTAAACTAAAGATGGCCATAAAGAAATTAGGAGGGGAGGGGACTTTTCCTGAGTCACTTTCTCTTGGTGTCTGCTTTTCCTTCTCAAGCCTGAGCTCCCTTGACAGGTGAAGTTACCTGGTTCTGTGGGCCCTGGAGAAGCTGTCTTAAAAGCTGTGCCTGACAGTACTCCCAGGGCATCCAGCCAGGCTTCTGGTACCTGCACTGCTCAGGACTGGCCTCGGTGATTCTTTTTGTCTTACCTACTAGCAAAGAGGCCTTGAGGACTAGACAGTGTCCACCTGTCTCTGCTCTAGCACCTGACATCCAAGCCTGTTTGGATAGATGAAATATAGCACCATAGCCTCTCCAGCCATTGATTGATTGATTGAGACAGTCTTGCTCTGTCGCCCAGTCTGGAGTACAGTGGCACAATCTTGGCTCACTGCAACCTCTGCCTCCTTCAAGCAGTGCTACTTGCCTCAGCCTCCCTAGTAGCTGGAATTATAGGTACTCAACACCATGCCTGGCTAATTTTTGTATTTTTAGTAGAGTTGGGGTTTCGCCATGTTGACCGGGCTGATCTTGAACTCCTGACCTCAGGTGATCCACCCGCTTCAGCCTCCCAAAGTGCTGGGATTACAGGCATGGGCCACCGTGCCCAGCCAGCCCATTTAATTCTGTGAATTCAGCAGTCTGTTATCAGCAAATAGGACCATTGCCCTTGGACTGCAGACCACCCATATCATTTGAGCCATAAGGTCTGATGGGCATACTGTACTTGAGGAGGGATAGCGAGCATTCCAGGGGGCATTGCATGTGATTTTTGCCCCAGCGTCTGCCCTGGGATCCAGCCTTCCTAAGCTGTGGCTCTATTGCTCTGAATCTCAACATTAGCCTGGATGCAGGTCTTGTGTTAGGCATCCGGCCTGAGCTGTATGTCCCCACTTGTTCTGATGGCATCAGCACTACGGGGAGTGTGTGAAACAGGCTGTGCCTGCTTTTCCCTCAGTCCTGCTGAATAGGAGTCTCCGAGGGGGCTCCAGGAGCCCCCACTTGATCCAGTTCTTTGGGCGATTATCTTGCACTCTGCAGTTTGAGAGTAGCTGACTTCAAGGGTTTGATGGTTTGTTTGTTTTTTTGTCTCTGTCTGTGTTGGTGTGTCCTTTGTTTAACCCTTAAAGCATCATCTGCTATTTTTCTTGGGTTGTGAGTTATGTCTAATCTGAATGGGAAATTGTACTACCCAAGCCTGAAAAAGCACTGCTGTATTGTCTCCAAAATATTGCTAATGGTCATTGAACTTGGCTTGCATTTCAGTTGGTAACCTTTAATTTTCTTTTCTCTGTTTTCTCTCAGATATCTGTACCATGTTTTGACCAAAAACACCACAGTCACAGAACAGAACCGGAACCTGCTAGTGGAGACCATCCGCTCCATCACCGAGATCCTCATCTGGGGAGATCAGAATGACAGCTCTGTATTTGAGTGAGGGTTTCTCATGATTGCTGTTTTTTGATCATTTGTCTTTGAATGTTTTTCTAAATGTATACCATGAGTCATTCCTGATGATGTCAGGATTTGACACGAATTTGATCTTGCCCAGATATCTATCTCTATCTAGCTATAAAAAATAAAATGCCCTTGAAACACTATAGAAATGCAAGCCAAAAATGGGGAACTTATGAAAATGAGTGTCTTTAGAAAACCTGAAAATGTCATGGGTAATTTTCCTGCAGGTTGTGTCTGATTCTTACCCCAAAGGAAGGATAACTTGTCTGGGTGGCTAGATTGTACATGAACAGAAGGCCTGTGCCCTGGGGAGTCACCAAGGGCTCCCAGTTGCCGTGTTTACTGATGACCAGGCACAAGGCTGAGCTCTCAATGTGACAATCCAGCTAAGTTTCCCGCCCATCCCATCATGGAGGTCCTGTTGCTGTCCCCCTTTTGGCTCAAGGTCACATAGGTCATAAGCAGTGGAAAGGTGAACACACGCCCAGAATCTGTGAGGGGTTACCCCGACTCTCGTACTTCCTAGGTGAGCAGTCCTCAGCCAGGCTTTTTATCTCCCAAAGCCTGTTTCTTTACCTTTAAAGGAGAGAGAAAAAGTTCTTTGTCTAGTGCCTGGCACAGGAATAAATGATAGCAAATGATAAAGACAGGTGTGCCTCACTGGACAGTTGAAAAGCAAGGACCGCTGGCTGCGGTGGTTCACACCTATAATTGCAGAGCTTTGGGAGACTGAGGCAGGAGGATCACTTGAGCCCAGGAGTTCAAGACCATCCTGCGCAACATAGGGAGACCTTGACTCTATATATACTGCAAACATTAGTTATGCATGGTGGTGTGCACCTGTGGTCCCAGCGACTCAAAAGGTTGAGGTAGGAGGATTGCTTGAGCCCAGGAGGTCCAGGCTGCAGTGAACCATGATTGTGCCACTGCACTCCAGCTGGGTGACAGAGTGAGACCATGTCTCAAAGAAAAAAAGCAAGGGCTGTAAACTGTGAACTACCTCCCTAATAGACCTGCCTTGATCTCTTAGTGCAGAAGGATTTGGGACTGGGTTATGACACCCACCAAACACGTGTGCGTGTGTGTGCGTGTGTGTGTGTGTGTGTGTAAAATTGTATTCTCAATTATAAATATTGAGGCCACTTTTAAAACTCATTTTTGAAAAGTAAAGGTGTTCTATTTTTTTTTGAGACAGAGTTTCACTCTTGTTACCCAGGCTGGAGTGCAGTGGCGCGATCTCGGCTCACCGCAACCTCTGCCTCCTGGGTTCAGGCAATTCTCCTGCCTCAGCCTCCCGAGTAGCTGGGATTAGAGGCACGTGCCACCATGCCCAGCTAATTTTTTGTATTTTTAGTAGAGATGGGGTTTCACCATGTTGACCAGGATGGTCTCGATTTTTAACTTGGCTTCTTCTTAGATATCTTAATAAGAAGGATATTACCCTTTCTGTTTTCAGACAGAATTAGACAGCACTGAACAAGTTCCTGAATATATGTTCAAGGTAGTTTTATATTTTCATTGGTAAGGTTGTCTGATAAAGCTACTTGTGGAGATGCAAACACCTTCAAATTCGAACCTGTAAACACTAGCTATGATCTCCAAAGCAAAACATGAGTAATGAAATTGCGTTTATACATGGAACTAGCTTCGTTTAAGGATCCATGAGGAATTTGGTTTGGTTTTGCTTGGTTATTTTAGATGGAGTCTCGCTCTGTTGCCCAGGCTGGAGTGCAGTGGCATGATCTTGGCTCACTGCTACCCCTTCCTCCCGGGTGCAAGTGATTTACCTACCTCAGCCTCCCAAGTAGTAGGGATTACAGGCATGCACCACCATGCTGGGCTAATTTTTTTGTATTTTTAGTAGGGACAGGGTTTTGCCATGTTGGCCAGGCTGGTCTCAAACTCCTGACCTCAGGTGATCTGCCGGCCTCGGCCTCCCAAAGTGCTGGGCAGTTGTTTGTTTGTTTTTTTAAATATCTTTCTGGAAATGAGAAACACCCTCGGGTTAAAGATTAGAAACTGTGTTCACTTGACTAGAAAGGTCTTTTGTTTTTTTTTTTTGAGACGGGGTCTTGCTATGTTGCCCAGGCTGGTCTCAAACGCCTGGGCTGAAGCGATTCTCCCTCCTCAGCCTCCCAACATGCTGAGATTACAGGCATGAACTACTGCACCCTGCCTAGAATGGGCTTTCTTAGTCCATCTGTCATCTTAGAAAACCTGCTGAGCTCCTGGAGTCCCTGTGTTTCTTAAACAGCTGCTCCACAAGGTCCCCAGGAAAATTTTGGTTTTACTACATTTTAAAATTTTGGAATAATTTTAGATTTATAGCAAAGTTGCAAAGCTAGTACAGAAAGTTCCCATTTTGTAAATGTCTTATATTACTAGGGTACGTTGGACGAAACTAAGAAACTGACATTGGTACAGTGTTAGTCAGCTTCAGCCCCGTATGGATTTGGCCAGTTTTTTGTCCGTATCTCCTTTCTGTGCTAGGATCCTATCCATCTTCCCACGTGCATTTGGTGGTTGTTTCTCCCCAGCTTCCTCTCCTCTGTGACTTTTTTTTAGTCTTCCCTTGTTTTTACAACCTTGAAAGTTTTGAGAAATGCTGGCCACGTCTCCTATGGAGCGTCCCCCAGTCTGGGTTTGTCTCATGCTTTTCTTGCGATTAAACTGGCAGTGAAGGGGAATAATGCTGTAGGGGTGAAGCGCCCCCTCATGGCATGATAGCAGCACACCCGTGACAGCCTTATGACGTCCTGGTGACGTTACCTTTATCACCTGGTTAAGGTGCTGTCTGCCAGGTTTCTGTACTGTAAAGTTCTGTACTTTTCTCCTTTCCTTACACTGTTCTTTAGAAGAGAGTCACCGAGTCTGCCCCAGCTTTTCATGATGAGGGGGTGGGGGTTAAGGTCTACCTTCTAGAAGGGAGTAGTATCTACATGTGTTGTTTGAAATTCTTCCGCATGGAATATTTGTCTCTTCTCTCTCAGTTATTATGCAGTCGTTTGCTTATATTACTGCGAACTCGCGGATATTTTGTACTCCTGGGTAATAATTCGGTGTAATTCAATATGTTTGTTGCTCAAGTAGTTTCAGCTTTGGCCACTAGGAGCTCTGTCAGGTTGGTTCTTGTGTCCCCTTGATATGCTCCCTTCCTTTTGTTTTTTGAGCACTTCCTACTTTCTGGTACTATAAAGCACTCTAGTCCTACAGTGAGCTGATTTTCTATGGAGTCGCTCACTCCCCTATGGAGATTTTTAGAAATCTAGGTTCATGGATTTTGTGCTAGACCTACTGAGTCAATCCCTGGGGCAAGATCTAGGTACAGACATTTTAACAAGTTTCCAAGTTGGTCACAGTGCGGCAGTGAGTTTGCTAGTGACACTGAGGAGTCACTGAATTTATGCAACTTGAACTGAAGGTAGACAAAATAGGCCAAATGACAGAACTACTCTGGAGGTCGACATGAATGGCGTTTACAGGCAGACGGGCTCTCAGAGTTGGAGAAGATTGTAAGGGTCTTTTTTAGGCCGTTTAAATTCATTCATTTACTCGTTCATGGATTCAGACAGAATCAGGCAGCACTGAGTAAGTTTCAGGCTCGTGACCTCCCCACTGTGGAGATGCCAGATGAGGGCAGAGAGGCACCCACAGCTGAGTCAACCAGCAGACACACCTCATTCCTTCTCAGTGTCCCAAATGCAAGAGTTTTCATGTGAGTACAGAGAACACATGACTAGAAATGTCATTCTCTTCTTTTAAAGAAAGGTACTGGGTGGTCTGTTTCCTTTTCAAGACTGAAAGAGCTGACGTGTACCCCCAGGAGCCAGTGCCGCTAGGCTGCATGCAGACAAGTATCCTATCCACAAGGAGAAAGGCCGAAACAGACTTAGGGGTGGGTTAGTAGGGTTTCTCCACCACATCAGTACCTGCGTATTTCTTTCCAGTTATTTTCCCCTGGAACTTGACAATTTGGGAACCAAAGCTCTCTCTTGATCTCTTTTTGTTTTTTAAGTCTGTCACCCAGGCTGGAATTCAGTGGCCTGATCATGTCTTACAGCAGCCTTGAACTCCTGGGCTCAAGCGATGCTCCCACCTTAGCCTCCTGAGTAGCCGGGACTTCAGGCATGCACCACCACCTAATTTTTTTTCTTTTCTTTCTTTTTTTTCTTTTTGGAGATGGTGTCTAGCTCTGTCACCCAGGTTGGAGTGCAGTGGCATGATCTCTGCTCACTGCAACCTCTGCCTCCCAGGGTCAAGCAATGCTCCTGCCTTAGCCTCCTGAGTAGCTGGGATTACAGGTGTGTACCACCATGCCCAGTTAATTTTTGCATTTTTGGTAGAGACAGGATTTCACCATGTTGGTCAGGGTGGTCTCGAACGCTTGACCTTGTGATCCACCCACCTTGGCCTCCCAAAGTGCTGGGATTACAGGCATGACTTACTGCATCCGGCCTTTTATTCTTTTCTGTAGAGACAGGGGTCTCATTATTCTGCCCAGGTTGGGTCTTGAACTGGCCTCAAGTGATCCTCCTGCCTCAGCCTCCCAAAGTACTGGGATTACAGGCATGAGACACTGTTTCCAGCTCTAAAACTTAGTTAATACTCAGAATTATCTTATTCCTTTGCTGGGAATTCCAGTCGTGGCAGATGACAATGGGTGGGATGATCTGTTGTGTCTATAGATACCTTGGGGGAAAGTAATACTTGTTTTGTGAATGAAACCAGATAATAATTTCAGTTTCCATATGTGGAAGCAAACCACTGACCGTTTTCCGTTCTCTCCTCAGCTTCTTCCTGGAGAAGAATATGTTTGTTTTCTTCTTGAACATCCTGCGGCAAAAGTCGGGCCGTTATGTGTGTGTTCAGCTGCTGCAGACCTTGAACATCCTCTTTGAGAATATCAGTCACGAGACCTCACTTTGTAAGGACATTCCTTGGTATTCGCCTCTGTACTGCTGGGTATCGAGCAGGGTGAAGTTTGGCATGATTTTCTCTGTCTGTGCTTCCTGAGTATATTAGTCTGCTCAGGCTGCCCTAACAAAATACCATAGACTGAGTGGGTTAAACAACAGAAATTAGTTTTCTCACTGTTCTGGAAGCTAGAAGTTCAAGACTGGCTGGGCATGGTGTCTCATGCCTGTAACCCCAGCATATTAGGCAGCCAAGGTGGGCAGGTGACTTGAGCTCAGGAGTTTGAGAACAGCCTGGACAACAAAGTGAAAACCCATCTCGACAAAAAATGTAAAAATTGGCTGGGTGTGGTGGTGTGCACCTGTAGTTCCAGCTACTCAGGAGGCTGAGGTGGGAAAATTGCTCAAGACAAGAAAGTGGAGACTGCAGTGAGCCATGATTGCACCACTGCACTCCAGCCTGGGTGATAGAGCAAGATTTTGTCTCCAGCAACAGGGTTAGTTTCTGGTGAGGGCTCTCTTCTTGGCTTGCAGAAGACCACCTTCTTGCTGTACACGGCCTTTCATCTGTGTGTGAGTGGAGAGAGACTGAGAGAGAGGCAGCCGGTGTCTTTTCCTCTTAAAGGGACACCAGTCCTATTGGATGAGAGCTCCCACCCTTATGACCTCATTCAACCTTAATTCCCTCCCCAAAGGCCCTGTCTTCAAATACAGTCACAAGCAGGGTTAGAGTTTCCATGTATTAACTTGAGGGGGACACAGTTCAGTCCCTAACCCTGTGTTTGTCCCTGTGTGGTGAGTACCGTGAGAGGGTTCCCCTCTGCTGATGATGCCGGGGGTGTTTGCAGTTCTTCTTTATGACTTGCTGTTAAAGAGGTGGGGTCACTGAATCATCAGCCAACAGAATAAGCTGGAAGTAGCAGGATAAGGAAGACCTAGGTGGAGAGCAGGCAAGGGTGTCTGTGCGCTTTGGTACCCACCCTCCTGCTTCAGTCCTGCCACCTGGCTAGCGAGTGTGTGACTCTGAACTTCTTACCTGCCCTCACTGAGCCTCAGTATCTTCATCTGTAGTAACCACCCCTGAGAGGCACATGCCATCAGTGCTTTCATTTTAACATCCAGGCGCCAGCCCTAGCAAAGCCACAATAGAGAGGGGTTTTATCCCAGGTGATTAGCTCAGTGGTCTCCAGTGAGGGGACACTTGGCATCATCTAGAGACATTCTTGGGGATGCCACTGGCATCTAGTGGGTAGAGGGTGGAGAAGCTACTGTACATTAAGGATAGGCCTCCACAACAGCCCAAATTGTCCCCATTGCTGAGGCTGAGAAACCTGGTTTGGTTCCTAATCCTCCGCACTAGAGCGCTAGCGTTGTTATTCCAAGGTGACTTCACCAAGCCCTGGTCCTGCCCGCCAGAAGTGGGGGACAAGTGGCCAAATGTCTATATTTGAAGTAGGCTCTAAGTCCCCTGGACAGCTATGAAAAAAGTGTGCAGTGGGTAGGAGGTAGAGATGGTAGCATTCCTCTGGCCAAGAGGGAGAGGAGAAAGGACTGCCGAGTGATGGCTCTCACAGCTGCCACTAGGTGGTGCTGCTGCCTCAGAGATGCTGTAATGCTGCTTGGTGACTGCAGGTTGACAAACGGGCCAACTCCTGTCTCCGTAAATGGTTTCCCTTGTTACCAGCACCTGTTTCACTGGATATGAAATGACTGTGGCTTCTGAAAGCTCTGAGGTGAAGATCCCACTCAGCGGCACAGGCCCTGGACTCAGACTGAACCAGGTCCCAGGCTTGGTTCTGCCCCACGCTCCCTGCATGCACCCGGACAGTGAAGACTCCAAGCTGCTGTCTGTGCATCTGTCAAGAGGAGAGCACAGTGGCTGCAGCATAGAGTGGCTGGAGGCGTGAGCGTGAGAGCAGGTGTGCAGAGCAAGGCACAGGCTCTGGCGGATAGGACGTGGCCGTGGTGTTGGTTTTCTCTTTAAGGCTGCATTGCCGTCAGTTCCCTGTCCTGGGAAGCCTCTCGAAGCACAGCTAGGCAAAGGGCAACTAGATTGAGATGGGGGTGGGGCCGTCAAAGCTTATGGCTTTTAGAGGGTTTCTTGGAATCATATGACTTTTAAAAAGTATATATATTTAATGTGTACAGCTTTATTTAATATATACACATACATAAAGAATATGTATACATTGTGAAATAATCATTGCAATAGAGAGAATTACCATCCATCACCTCACATTTGTGTGTGTATGGGGAGGTGTGTGTGCCCACATGGTGTGATGAAAATGTGTCAGACCTACCCTGTTAGCAGATTTCAAGTCTATAACACAGGAGGGTTAACTGGAGTCACTGTGCTGTACGTGAGAGCTCCGGAACTTACTCATCATGCCTGGTACACTTTGATCAGTGTCTCCCCATTTCCCCTGCTCCCCAGTCCCGGGTAGACTGTCTGCTTCTATGAATTTGACTGTTTTAGATTCTCCCTACAAGTGAGGTCATGCAGTGTGTGTGGCTTTTCTTGTCCTGGGACCAAGAAAGGTGCCCTGCTGTGAAAAACCTGGGCAGATGCCCCTGGCTTTATAGCTCCTTCACCACAGTGCTTTTATAAACTCTGCAAAAAGGGTAGAAATCATTGCACATTTACAGAACTCAGATTTGTAAGGCTCGAGGAGGATAGATGACCTTTGCTTTTATTTTCTAACCACTGAAGAAAAAATGTCCTCATTGTCAAATAACAAAAAGCCAAAAATATATTTGAAAAATATAGTCAAGTTTCTGCAGGATTTCGCCCGAACAGTCCACTGTGCATCAGCCATTCTGCTATTTGCTTTTCTCTTTCCCACCCTCCCAGTGTGTCTGAGCTCTCATCGTCCCCTTCTGTAACCCTGGCTGCTTTGGCTTAGGAGCTGCAGCTTGTGCCATAATCTATTTAACCTGACCGTGGGCATTTAGGTGCTTTCCAGCTTTTCACTCTTACAAGCAGCCACTTCACAAGTGCACCTGTTGGCTGTTGAGGTCGGTGACCTAAGTGACAGAGTCCTGAGAGACTGAGATTACGTACAGGCTCCCGGGTTTATTAGAAAAGGATACCACAGAAAGTCAGCCACAGTGAGGGGCAGTAGTAGAAAAGTCCCAGTCTGATAATAGAGACGCCTCCAGCTGTCTTATGGTGGTCCCCCGCCACCCACAGAGTCACCTCTTGGAGGCCCTGGAAAAGTCCCTGCTGGGGAGTGGAGGAGCCTGTCGCTGTCCCAGCTCCAGGGTGCCACTAAGAGACTCACAGTTGCACATCTGAAGCTCCCAGCATGGCGTCTGTGCTGCTGGTGGCCTGGAAGCCACTAACCAGTCACTACAGGGCTCAGTAAGATAGCCCAACAACTCCTTATCCTGCCAGCCCATTACCCCTCCCTACTTGTCCAAGCAACAGCCAGAATGACACAGAATAAAAAAGAAGTGCTCCAGGTATCAGAATCACCTGGGCGACATGTTACCCATGTTAGCTTCCAGGTGGATAAATAAACTGTGGCCTGTTCAGAGAATGTAATACTATATAGCAAAAAAGAAAAGAGACAGGAAAGGAAAAAAGGAATGAACTACTACTGCTGCATGCACAGCAACCTGGAAAGCCCTCAGATGTTGTAGTAAGTGCAAGGGGCCAAGCACAGGAAGTGTGAGCACTGTCTGCTTCCACTAGGTGAGGTTCAAGGACAGGCACAGCGAGTCTAACATGCTAGAAGCAGAACAGGGGCTGAATGGGGGTAGCAGGTACTGACTGGGCAGGGGTGTGAGGGAGCCTCTTGGAGAGCTGGGAATGTCAAATGTGGGATCTGGATGGTGCTTACGCTGTGCATATATGGAAAACTTCATGCTGGATACTTAGGGTTTGTGAGGTGTATGTATGTATGTAAAACACATGTATGTTGTATTAGTTCTCATGGGTCTGTAAAACACATACCTATGTTGTATTGGTCCATTCTCTGAGAATGTATGTAAACTGCAGTGTTTTACATACATAGATAAGTGTTTCACATAGATAGATTTAAGGCTGGGTAATTTATAAGAGAAAGAGGTTTAATCAACTTACAGTTCAGCATGTTTGGGGAGGCCTTACAATTATGGCAGAAGGGGAAGCAAACATGTCCTTCTTCCCATGGCAGCAGCAAGGAGAAGAATGAGTGCCCAGCAAAGGGGGAAGCCCCTTATAAAAGCATCACATCTCATGAGAACTCACTATCACAAGAACAGGATGGGGGAAATCACCCCCATGATTCAATTATTTCCACCTGGTCCCTCCCACAACACCTGGGGATTATGGGAACTACAATTCAAGATGAGACTTAGGTGGGGGCACAGCCAAACCGTACTGTACATGTACGTGTATGTGCGGTTCCACTTACGTCAAGCTGTCCACTTAGGAAATGTGATACATATAACTCTCTTAAAAAATTTAAGCCCTAGACCCACTAACTCCTCACTTGGAGGGGTCCCCAAGTCGTGCCTCAGGAGTTGTCAAACTCCGGAGATTTTGAAAACCGCTCTTCTGAGACTGCAGAGTGCACAGCCTGCCTGCCATGCCTGCTCAGAGTGCACAGTGGCTTTCCCGCAGAACTGGCTTCCAAGGAGGACCAAGCCGCAGGCCCACACTGTGACTTCCGCACGATCCCGGGCTCCCGGACCCGGGCTCCCGGATTCCTCTTTGTGGTGTTTTTGATGATTCCCAGCAGACTGTTGAGTCATACTTTGATTGACCTCGGTTAGGTACCTCGACGACTCCAAGTAACTTAATGATTTATTTCCTCCTCTTCACCCCAGAGCAGCTGTATTCAGTCCTGGGAATATGGTAGACATTTTCTTTGCTTGATTTGTTTTTAGAGACAGGGTCTCACTCTGTCGCTAGGCTGCACTACAGTGATGTGATCACGGCTCACTGCAGCCTTGAACTCCTAGGCTCAAGCTGGGACCACAGCCGCACATCATCACACCTGGCTAAAGTTGAGATTTTCAGTCTCCACATAATAGTAATAAGAGTAATGGGAGCTAACATTTTTGAGTGCTTGCTTCGTGGCGCATACTGTCCTGAGGGCTTTTTGTGCGTTTTCTCCGTTAATCCTTACCACAACTTTATAAGGAAGGTACTGCTGTTCTCTTTTCCAGACAAACGGGCGTGGGGAGGGTCAGCAGCTTGCTCCAGGTCACAACACAGGTAGGAAGTGGCAGGTGTGAGATGTGGACACAAGCCAGTCCAAGTCCATAATTGAACCCAGAGCCTCCCAAACACAAGCACACATGGGCAGCTCTGCACACTTCTTAAATGCAGAGCACCGGGCCCACCCCTGGAGATTCTGATTTGGTGAGGCAGGCCTGGGGTCCCAGATCCTGCAGGTCTGACATGCTCCAGGGGTTGCAGTGCTGCCCATCTGAGGACCAGACTCTGAGTAGCAAGGCTCCAAACCATGCCCTCCACAGGTGTCAATCCTGTTCTGCCTCTAGCTGTCCTGGGGACAGGGCAGGTGAGCTGGTGCAGTGCTCACACAGCAGCAGCCCAAAGGACAGGCAAGAGGACAGCAGTGCCTTGCTTTGTAGGGTGGCCGGTGAGAACAGAGGGAAACGTCTGGCAAGGCCCAACACCAAGATTTTGAACGGCAGGCCATAGGCTGCAGTGTTGGCCGAGAGACGTGTTTAGACGTTTTTAGCTTTAAAAGCTAGTTTGCTCAGTGGCAAACATGTCAGGATCAGGAGATATGCAGTGTTGGGTCTGGTTTCACCTCTCTTCGCAGTCAGAAGCACTCGCCATACTGGCCTGCGTTTTCGCAGGGCGAGGCACTGGGAGCTTGGGAGTGGGGTTGCTCTTCAGTTGACCCCAATGCCCTGGGTCCCTCATCACTCAGTTTTCATTGTTGGTTCCCCATAATGCATGACAGGCACAGGTTCTGACATCAGACCCTAGGTTTGAATCCCTTCTCTGTGACTGTCTCTGTGCTCGGTAAGTTAACTTCTCTGAGATGTTCTTGTTCTTCTGCAAAATGGAAAGAATGAGTTCTAGTCTGCAGTTTCCAGTGATGGTTAATGGTCCTGCAAAGCACTCAGCCCAATGCCCGCCATGTAGGGATTCAGCAGGTGACCTTTATGAAATCATGTTGCTATATAAGGAGGAGAAAACCCCAGTGTGGCCTGTTGTGGCATTCAGAGTTGATGATGTGATTTGTGATGGCAGAAGGGGGCAGCTTTTTATCCTCATCTATGGTGGTTTGCGAAAATGCCCACACGCCAGCTGGTCTCCCCCACCCCCAGCTCTTTGTTGAACTTTCCATCAATGAAAAGACAAATGTTGGAGTGTCTTTCTTTATTTGCTGTGGGAGGGCAGAGAAGGGCTGTTTTCTGGCGATGCCTTTGAACTTCCTGGGAGTGTGCATCACAGATGATCTCTTTGCTGGTTAAAAGTTAAGCTCTTCCAGTTAGTGTGTTTAATCCCAGCAACCCAGAGGCTTACCTGATTCAAGTACATTCACATGGTCATGTGCTGGTTACCTGGCTTATCTTTCCTCCAGCCTGAATTAACCTGTTTTGTTTTGTTTTCTCCCTCTAGATTATTTGCTCTCAAATAACTATGTAAATTCTATCATCGTTCATAAATTTGACTTTTCTGATGAGGAGATTATGGCCTATTATATATCGTTCCTGAAAACACTTTCGTTAAAACTCAACAACCACACTGTCCATTTCTTTTATAATGAGGTAAGTAATTGCCAGAAGGGCACGTGTGGGTGTAAAGCTCAATCAGTTACGGCAGCACCTGAGATCTGGGTGGTCTTGTGTCTGTTTACAGAGCTGGTACGTGCTTGTTTGGATTTTCACGGCAACACTATTTGACTTTGGCATGCCTAAAACTTTTTTTTAAATTATGTAAGTTACCTTTCTGTTGAAAAAATTTAATTTTTGTAGAGACAGGGTCTTATGGTGTTTCCCAGGTTGGTCTTGAACCCTGGGGCTCAAGCGATCTTCCTACCTTGGCCTCCCAAAGTGTCAGGATTACAGGCATGAGCCACCGCACTGGGCCAGCCTTTCCATTTTTAGTGTAAAATTCAGTCTGTGCTGAGAGCATTTTACTTGGCAGAACGGAGGCATGCCTAGAGGTTGTCTTGGGGAAGTGTTGCCCTTTGGGAAAAGCAGGAACTCCAGTCAGGGCTGGCTTTGTCACTTCCCTGCTGTGTCACCTTCAGGAAGTCCCAATCCCTTTCTGAATCTCATCTGAGTTTCCTCATCTGAGAAATGGGGATGAGAATATTTATCTTGTAGGGTTATTAGGGGTTGAATTAAATGAGGTGATGTCTTCAAAGTGCCTAGTATGTACATGGCTCCCTAAAATCATAGAGACATTGCTATTCTTGATAAGATAATGTCCCTGACACTCCTTGGGAGAATTATTAAAACAACTTAAATAGATCAGTTGCTCCTGTCCTCACATCTAAAAGCAGTTTGAACCATAAGGCCAATGTAACTGCCATACCAGAAGGTCCAGGCACTGGCTGTGCTGGGGCTGGTTCATCCTGTGGTTCAACCATATCAGCAAGCACCCAGGCTTTCCCATCTTCCTGCTCTGCTGACTGTACAGTTGGCATCTGTCCTCAGGTTCAACCCCTCATGGTCACGGGGTGGCTGCCCCTGCCCCCAAACATTGCATAATCATGTGCCACTGCTGAAATCCCTGATGAGATCACTTCCCTTCTTGTGTCTGTTTTTAACTTCCAAGGAAAACATTCTCAGAAGGCTCCAGCCTTCCCTTCATGTCTCCCCACATCCCATTGAGTACTTCTTAGCTGTCAGGTGCTGGGGTGAGCAAGAGATCAGAAATGATCTCATTTAATCCTGGAAACCATAAAATAGATATTATTATCCCCATTTTATAGATGAAGAAACAGAGGTTTAGAAATACTGCATTGCACAGGTTAGAAGCGGTAGAAGAGGTAAGGAACCCGGGTCTGACATTATCTGGACTCTTTTTTTTTTAAGTTACAATTTTTAAAGTAGAGATGGGGTCTTGTCTCATTGCCCAGGCTGGTCTCAAACTCCAGACCTCAAGCGATCCTCCCTCTGTGGCCTCCCAAAGTCCTGGGATTATGGGCATGAGCCACTACTCCCACCCAGTGAATGAATGATTACTTCTGCTACTGCCACTACTACTGTTCTTTTTTCTTTTGTTTTTGGAGACCGGGTCTTGCTCTGTTTGCCCAGTCTGGAGTGCAGTGGCAGTCACAGCTCACTGCAGCCTCAAGCTCCTGGGCTCAAGCTATCCTCCCACCTCACCCTCCCGAGTAGCTGGTACTATAGATGTGCACCACCACACGGACTTGGACTTTTCTGTTTCTTCTGTGGCTTTGCCTTCCCATCCTTTTCCACATTCCCCATTGGGAATAAACCACTGACTTACGGTTCACGTTGTCAACCTTTTTTTTTTTTTGGTCTTTCTGAAGTCTCTGCTGGAATCCAGAGAGTTGGGGTGGGGCCAGGCCTGGCTTATGGCTTGTCATTTGTTTTTGTTAATTCTTTTGTTTTAGCACACCAATGACTTTGCCCTGTACACAGAAGCCATCAAGTTTTTCAATCACCCTGAGAGCATGGTTAGAATTGCTGTAAGAACCATAACTTTGAATGTCTATAAAGGTAAGTGTCCTCATAGGCTTGTGCCTTGGCAGATTTCTGACTTGGCAGCAAGTGCTCACTCCCATATGTGTATGCGTATGGTTCTCAGAGTGTAATGAGGGAGCACATTGATGATGAGCCGTGGCTGCTTCTCACGAAAATCGTGGAGCCCCCTGGCATTTAGCTGGCCGCTCATGGAAATCCTTGCCTTCTCCAGGCATGTCCAGGTCTTGCTCATGCTGCCACCCAGAAGTAGAATGTCCTAAGAGAGGCACGTGTGGGATTTAGAGTTGCTGTGTTACAGAATTGGGGGAAGCAAAGTTTTCTTTTAAATATGACATGTAAATTTTTTGTGTTTTGGCTTGTGAAATACACTTTAATACAGCTAAGGGGTAATCTGACTTTTAAGTAATATATAAAAGCATGTCACATTTTGAACAGCAGGGGGCAATGTTGTATTCTCAACGGGCTGCAAAGTCCCGTACCGACAAATTCCTCCTTTCTTTCAAGATGTTCTTAACGCTCAAAACACTGCCCCAGGGAAAAAGCCATTCCCCCCTCTCTGCTGCACTGACACAAAGGCTGCCTGGCCAAGGTTTCGTGAACTGGAATTGTCCTTCCAAGAAGATGCTTGGAAGTTGTCTGCCTAATGCCTGGCTTATTTCCCCGGGAGTCACCACAATGGAGATGGAACTGTATCTTCTTAGGGATGAAAAGGCTTGGACTTTAATGAGTCAGAATGTTATTACTTGTTAATTAGGGTGGGGTTCCTCACTCCAGCCTAGCACTGGGCTTACATTAAATTTAAGAACCTTTCTAAGAGCCCAACTGGACCCATCCAGGGGTCATAGACTGAGGACCTGTGGGCCATATCCAGCCATCAGACGTGTTTTAATTTGCTTCATTTTTGAAAAAAAATATGTAGTTGCCAGTATTTAAAAATTGGGAGGTTTTCCATGGTAATCTGTATTTGCACCTTGAAGATGTAGATTTGGCTAGTCGAGGTCCACAGTCCTGCAGGGTGGGGGTTAGCGGGAACAGAAGCAGCTGCCCCTTTGGGGTCAAAGCCCATGCTCCCAGGTCACATGCTGGACCTCCTGACCACCAACCAACCTGGCAGGCTTCTAAGTTTGCCACCCTGGTTCAGGCCACAGTTGGTTCTGCTGCCTCCTGCTGTTTCTCTTGTCCCCTTCTGACCTTCTATCTCATGCAGATGCCTCCTGCCCTGGCGTCTCTCCCTCTGCGCAGCTCTCTCACCTTCCCAGTTCCTAACCCTGTTAACTGTTGTCTGTTTTATGCCTTTCCTTCAATGACGATTCCTGTGTTCCTTATTCCAGTGTCATGTAAGTTATTAACCTCTGGTTTTCCGCTTTCTTAATTTATCCTTAGATGTAAATACAGGAACCTTGCTTGAGAATGGTGTAATTCTCAGTGTAGTCTAGCTCAATCCGCTGCTGATAAGTAAGCTCTCCAATGCACTATTAATGTGTAGCCCAACTAATTTCTTTTTAAGTATAAAATATCACAAGAACTGCCTTGATGACTATAGTTTTATGAATAAGATACACATTTTCAAGTATTTCCGGGAAAGACAGACAATTTCAGATTATAGCAGAGGGCTTTTTCATTGTGGTTTTGGGGTTTTGCTTTGTTTTTGTTTTTTAAATCGCCCCCAAGTTATTTTTGGTAGCTTGACTTTTTTTCTTCTGTGAATTTCCTCAGTGGATAACCAGGCCATGCTGCACTACATCCGGGATAAAACTGCAGTTCCTTACTTTTCCAATTTGGTCTGGTTCATCGGGAGCCACGTGATCGAACTTGATGACTGCGTGCAGACAGATGAGGAGTAAGTGACACCCTCAGGGCCACTCAGGATGTAGACAGGGCAAGTAGGGAACAATTCTGTTTTCATCAAGGAAAAAAGAAACCCAAGGACAGCACTTCCCTATCTCTGTGTCGGCAGAGCATGGACTTCCGTACTCTAAAAGGTTCTGCCCACCTGTTTGTAATAATGAAACTCTGGAAACAACTCAGCCACCTCCCAGAGCAGGCGGGGTAAATCAATTCAGTACACCATAGATGGGGCTGCTAGGCAGCTGGTGAGAAGGCCGAGGGGCTCTGTCAGCTGATGAAAGCATTAGCAAAGTGTTGTCTCTGTAAGATGGAATAGTGTTTGGCAATGAAAAGGAATGAAGCACTGATGTGTGGTACGGTGTAGGTCAACCTCAAAGCCTTAGGCCTAGTGAAATGCTCACAGTAGGTGAATCTATAGGGGCAGAGAGTAGATTGGGGGTTTCCTAGGGCTCGAATGCTGTCTGGCGACATAGGAAGCAACTACTAATGAGTATTGGGCTTTTTCTTTTTTTTGACACAGAATACTGCTCTGTCACCCAGGGTGACAGAGCAGTATAGTGATCATGGCTTACTGTAGTTTTGACCTCCTAGGTTTAAGCAATTCTCCCACCTCAGCCTCCCAGGTAGCTAAGATGACCAGGCCCATGCTGTCACATCCAGCTGTTTTGATTTCTAGTAGAGATGGGGTTTTGCCATGTTGCCAAAGCCGATCTTAAATTCCTGTGCTCAAGCGATCCTCCTGCCTCAGCCTCCCAAAGTGCTAGGATTACAGGTGTGGGCCACCATTTCCAGCCAAGTAAGGGACTTTTTCTTTTTTAAGATGGAGGCTTGCTCTGTCACCTAGGCTGGAGTGCAGTGATGCGATCTCTGCTCACTGCACCTCTGCTTCCCAGATTTAAGTGATTCTCCTACCTCAGCCTCCGGAATAGTTGAAATTACAAGTGTGCACCACCAAGCCTGGCTAATTTTTGTATTTTTAGTAGAGATAGGGTTTCACCATATTGGCCAGGCTGATCTCAAACTGCTGACCTCGTGATCTGCCTGCCTTGGCCTCCCAAGGTGCTGGGATTACAGGTGTAAGCCACTACACCTGGACATGAGGGGTTTTTTTTGCAGGGGGATAACAATGTTCTCAAATTGACTGTGATCATGGTCGGGCAACTCTGTGAATCTACCAAAAACCATTACGTTGTATACTTAAATAGTTGAATGTTATGGTATGAGAATTACACTTCAATAAATCTCTTTTTTAAAAAGGTTGAGGATGGTGCTTTTGTCCTTAGAGGGATGACTAGAAGTTTCAGAGCAGGATTTCTTTCCCTTGTCTCTCTTGAACTGGGTACCATTGTTATGGGTGCTGTCTTGTGCATTGTAGGATTTTTACCAGCATCCCTGGCCTTTACCTACTAGATGCCGATAGCACCCCTCCCCAGTCGTATTAACCAAAAATGTTCTCAGACATTGCCAGATGTCCCCTTTAAGGCAAAATCACCCTTACTTGAGAACCACTACTCCAGGGTGACAGCTTTGCCCAGGTCTAGTGAAAGGTGCGTCCAGTTGGGGTCAGGATGCTAAAGGGACCAGAAAAGAGTTGTCCTGGGGGAGGGGAGCTAGCAGATAGAATATGAGATCTGATATGGGGAAAGAAGCAAGGATGGGTAGATGGCAGACCTGACTGAGCAACTGGGAAAGCTAGAAGCCTTATGGATTTAAACAGTGGTGGATTCGAGACATAATGAGACACTTCGCTACAGAAAGAGCAAAGTTATACAAGCAAGGAAATGAAATCATAGTCCTCTATTTGGCTCCACATCGAATGTTATGATAACATCAACCCCAATTGCTGATAACTACTTGGGGGGAAATGGCAGAGAACGGAAGAGTTCTGTCATAACAGGAGGTCAATAGATAATACCTAAAACGTCTCAATTGCAAAATAGAAGTCCATGCAGATTTTCTAGAAAATGGGAGGAACTATCTGCAGAAACAGCTGCCTCTAGAGAGTGGGAAGAAGTAAAAGAGGGCAGGGCGTGGTGGCTCACACCTGTAATCCTAGCACTTTGGGAGGCCAAGGCGGGCAGATCACTTGAGGCCAGGAGTTGGAGACCAGCCTGGCCCCATCTCTACTAAAAATACAAAAATTAGCCAGGCATAGTGGTACATTCTTGTAATCCCAGCTTCGAGGCCGAGGCACGAGAATTGCTTGAACCCAGGAGTTGGAGGTTGCAGTGAGCTGAGATCGCCCCACTGCTCTCCAGCCTGGGTGACAGAGCAAGACACTGTCTCAAAAGAAAGAAAAACAAAAGTGGAGGAGACGGGGCCACGAGCTGCTCTTTTTCATTATCAGCATATCAAGGCAATTTGAGTTTTAAATCTCGCTGCATGTATTACTTTGTTATTTTTTAAACCAAAGTATTAAAAAGCGAGGCATATTAAATATACCATTAGAGAAAATGTTCCAAAGTGTCTTACTAAGTGGGAGAAAAGTACAAAACATTGGGCATAAATGTTCTAGATCTCAGGTGCACGGTGGGTTCATAGGCATTCGTTATGCTATTAGGCTTTACAACATGTATTTGCTATAAATATTTACCAAATATCTTCTTCTTTTTTTTTCTTTTGAGATAGTTTTGCTCTATCTCCCAGGCTGGAGTGCAGTAGCGTAGTCTTGGCTCACTGCAACCCACCTCCCAGGTTCAAGCGATTCCAGTGCCTCAGCCTCCTGAATCGCTGGGGCAACAGGCGCATGCCACCATGCCTGGCTGATTTTTTTTTTTTTTGTATTTTTAGTAGATGTGGGGGTTTCACTATGTTGGCCAGGCTCGTCTTGAACTCCTGACCTAAAGTGAACTGCCTGCCTTGGCCTCCCAAAGTGCTGGGATTATAGACATGAGCCACTGCACCCAACTGAAATATCTTATTGAAGTATAAGAAATAATGGCCTGGGCATAGTGGCTCACGCCTGCAATCCTACCACTGCAGGAGGCCGAGGCAGAAGGGTCACTTGAGTCCAGGAGTTTGAGACCAGCCTGGGCAACATGGTGAGACCCCCCAACCCCCTACAAAAGAAATTTTTAAAATAGCCGGGCATGGTGGCAGGTACCTGTAATCTGAGCTACTTGGGAAGCTGAGGTGGGAGGAACATTTGAGCCTGAGAGGTTGAGGCTATAATGAGCACACCACAACACTCCAGCCTGGGTGACAGAACAAGACCCTCTCTCAAAACATAATAAACAATAAGTAAATAAAAGGAATAGTTATCTAGAATTACATGAAAGAAGCAAAATTGATCTTGGTGTTACTTTATTTTTCTCAAGTATATACAGTTAGATGGATAGAAATGTGATGTCTGTACTTTAGATGTGACTGCCACTGGGAGAAGTGAATGTGTGACAAACACAGACGTTAGGGTTATAAGTCCCAAAATGTTCATAGTGGATGTCTGTTAGTGGTGGCTTTACAGGAGACTTTGAATTCTATTTGCTTTTATTTTTTTAATTTGCTGCTGTCAAAAATAACCATCTCTTAATTGGGTAATAATAACAATAGAAACAGAATGCTTAGCTAGCATGTGCAGCATACTGCTTTGAGGGTGGTGAGTGTGAGACTGACTCTCCCCAAGAGACTTTACCCCCTCTCCCGACCCAGCATGCTGTAGCTAACTGCAGGTCGACCGAGACCTCCAGGGCAGGGGCCTGGGGGAGGGGCGTTGTGTCTTTGCTGTGTGTCCGCATGTGTCGGGCCACTGGGGTGGCCTGCTTTTCTCTTTAGAACTCTTCTGGAGCATTTTAATTACAGTGGATTTATTGCTCCATTAATGCTGCTTTATCTGGGGAGCCAGGGGATCTTGCCACAATGGCTAGTGGCTGTGCTTGTGCACTGGCTTGCTGGAAGAGCTTAGCAGCATTTTGCTTTGTTTACCTCATTCTGGGGGGGGCTGTGGTAGTGGGAGGGGTGATATTGAGACCCCCAGAGAGTGGAGGTACCCCAGCAGTCCCCTGAAATTGATTACAGTAAACCTACCCATTATCCCTTTGTGTATCTCCCCAGCAGGGGCCAAGATAAGTGTCTCTTGAGACTAACTCAAATATTGATTATATGGATGAACCCCCGGTGACCTAAGTCTGAGGCCATTGATGTTAGTCTCAAAGGCTCCAAGTGCTGGCCTCTAGGCTGAGGTGGTCATTTCTCCTGGCAGGCACCGGAATCGGGGCAAACTCAGTGACCTGGTGGCAGAGCACCTAGACCACCTGCACTATCTCAATGACATCCTGATCATCAACTGCGAGTTCCTCAACGATGTGCTCACAGACCACCTGCTCAACAGGCTCTTCCTGCCCCTCTACGTTTACTCACTGGAGAACCAGGACAAGGTGGGTCCCGCCCCATGGCTCCCTCTGGCTGAAGGCCATCTTAAGAAATGAGGAAGAACAGTCCCCTGGAGTGGGGTGGAGCATTGCAAACTAGGACTGAGATTTTTATTTTGTTGTTGTTGTTTTGAGACAGAGTGTCCCTCTTGTGTCCAGGCTGGAGTACAATGGCGCGATCTCAGCTCAGTGCGACCTCTGCCTCCTGGGTTCAAGTGATTCTCCCACCTCAGCCTCCCAACTAGCTGGGATTATAGGTGCATACTACCATGCCTGAATAATTTTTGTACTTGTTGGTAGAGATAGCATTTCACCATGTTAATCATGCTGGTCTCAAACTCCTGACCTCAGGAGATACACCTGCCTGGGGCCCCCAGACTACTGGGATAACAGGCATGAGCCACTGTGCTTACCAGGGGACCAAGGTTTTGAGCCCAAGGGAGAGTCCTTTCAAAGCAGCTGGTTTTCCTTTCCTTTTCCTCTCTTTTCCTGAGACAGAGTGTGTGTGTGTGTGAAAAGACTGTAAAAGTGAATGAGAAAAGATTACCGACAGGAGGAAACAGGAAACCTCTCCAAATGTAGGTTTTTGGTTTCTGCACATCCTTCCTGGAGGTGTTCTCCTCCCTGGTAACTTTTCCTGGTTGTTGCCAGAACCCATTGATTTGGAGAAGATGCAGACAGCAGCAGAACTTGTGCAGCACAGAGGGACAGGATTGAGCACACTCAGGGAACGGTCCCAGGGTGGAGACTGTTCACTGTTAGCAGACCCCAGAGGCCAGTGAGGATGGTGGCTGGTAACATGCAGGGCCTCAGCTTCTCTCCCAGTCTCAGGGCTTCTGGTTCTGTTGCTCTGGGGTGGACCCAGGAATCTTCATGGCTCAACTGTCCCTCAGGTGATTTTGATTATGTGCTGCTGGTTCTCAGACCCCCTCAACCCCCCATCCCCTCCCCTATGAGAAATGCTGCTTTTGGAGGGGAGGCCTCTGTGCAGTTCCTCTGGAGGTAAGGGGGCCTCAGTAGGAGGCAGGACAGAGCCAGCTGGTCACCATGCAGGGGTGCCCCAAGGGGATGGAGTTTGGGGGATTCTAACTACAGATGAGTAAATAAAAGAAAATGTATTTTTTTAGTAGAAACAGGGTTTCACCATGTTGGCCAGGCTGGTCTCCTGATCTCATGTGATCTGCCTGCCTCAGCCTCCCAAAGTGCTGGGATTACAAGGTGTAGGCCACCAGGCCTGGCCAGGACTGAGGTTTTGAGCCCAAAGGAGATTCCTTTCAAAGCACGCTGATTTTCCTTTCCTTCTTATTTCCTGAGACAGAGACAGAGTATGTGTGTGAGAAGACTGTAAAAGTGAATAAGCTCCTTAGCTTTAACAGAGGCAGCACTGGGAGGCAGAGACAAAGAATGAGAATTAGAGTTTTCAGACCTGTGTTCAAATTCTGCCTCTTCCCTTTCTACCTCTGTCCTTGGACAAAGCAGTTAACCTGAGCCGTTTTCTTAGGCCGCAAATTAAGGGCCTAATGATTCTTCTCTCACAGGGTGGGTGTGAGATGGAGCATATTGAATGAAGTTCAGTGTAAATGAGGGGCTTTTCCAAAGCCTGAGTGCCCTAAACCTCCTCCCCCACCCCATGCTTTGAAAATACCTTCCCAAGAACAGGCCTCCTAGGGACCTCTCCTGCTGGGGTGTCCGGTGCCCCAGCTGGTGGAAATGAACATGCTTCGTAACTTCAGGAGCAAGTTCTGGTGGGTCACCTTCTCATCTGTGACTAATGGTGAAAGGTTTCTCAGGTGGAAAAATAGTGGCCTTACAAATAGTACTGAGTGGGATTTTGCAGAATGGACCTTTGACTGGCACCAGGAAAGGGCAGCAAACAGTATTGAGTGGGATTTTGCAGAGCGGACTTTTGGCCAGCACCAGTAAAGGGCAGCCCTAGGGCCATGGAGGAAGTCAGTGGGACAGGAGCTTTTGTTCACACAGAAGGCTTTGGCTTTGTGTGTTTTGTGCTGCTCACTGGTGTGATCTGATCTCTCTCTGTCTCTCCCCCTTGCCTACTAGGGAGGAGAACGGCCGAAAATTAGCCTGCCGGTGTCTCTCTATCTACTGTCACAGGTATGCTTGATCATTCACCGTTGTCTCCACTTCATTTGGGGTCCCTTGGCGTGCCACTGCCTTGAAGAAACTTCCCAAATCACGTCACCCCATCTTCTCTGTGTCCCCTATCCTCAAATAAAATAACAGTCAAACAGAAGGGACTTTCTGTTTTCCAGGCACCAAATAGAGGTAGTATGTATCTTTTTCATGGTAGGAGATAGAAATCCAAAGAGAAATGAAAAATAAACCAAACCTGACTTGTGTAGTTGATTTTTACTGTGAAGACTGGGGTTTCCAAAACAACTGAGGAGTGCTTGCAAGACCCTGGACATGTGGGTTGCAGCGCTGTTACTCACGGAACTTTGAATGAAGCCCCACACTGCAGAACCCACAGTGTGCAAAACATAGCAACCTTGGTGTAACAGACTTCCTGAAATGAAGCTTTTTTTTTTGAAACGGACTTTTGCGCTTGTTACCCAGGCTGGAGTGCAATGGCATGATCTTGGCTCACTGCAACCTCCGCCTCCTGGGTTCAGGCAATTCTCCTGCCTCAGCCTCCTGAGTAGCTGGGATTACAGGCACGTGCCACCATGCCCAGCTAATTTTTTGTATTTTTAGTAAAGACGGGGTTTCACCATGTTGACCAGGATGGTCTCGATCTCTTGACCTCGTGATCCACCCGCCTCGGCCTCCCAAAGTGCTGGGATTACAGGCTTGAGCCACCGTGCCTGGCCGAAATGAAGCTATTTTTAAAGGGCTTAATCGTGGTTCTATTTCCCAGATTACCTTGTGGAAGGGATCTTGTAGCAACCTTGAGCCAATTTGTCTCCCTCCCCTGCTTAAACAAGTATGTTTCCTTCATGTAATTATGTAATATTTACAAGAAGGGAAAAACTCCATAGTGACCCAGTTACATAACTTTCAAAATATTTTTATTACAGGCAGTCCAGATTCTCAGGGCGTCTTAGTAGACTGTCAAGTAATCCAGTATTTACCCAGAAGTCTGTTTCCGCTTTTGCAGTGGTACAGGTACTTATTTGCTTTGATGAGGAACTGTCCCTCTAACTTGATCCCTAGCTGTTTTGAATTTGGGGTGGGGCTTTGTCTTTTTCGCCGGAAAGAAGAGGTTCAGAGCCCACCTCCTCCCAGCAGGTAGACCAGTCTGGACGTGTCCTGACCACCCACTCACAGCCTGGCGTCCTTTCCTGGGGCTCTGTTTGCTCAGAGCTCTGCACAGGGTGACTGTCTGAATGCCGCTCTGTACTGTGGGGCTCAGCACAAACCCCAGCCTCTCCTGGCAGCTTTTTTCTTTTGCCTCTTTACAAGTCTTCTGGCAGCTCCTGCTTGGGATTCTAGGAGTCCAGCAGGACCCAACCAAGCCAGTTCTCAGCCCCAGGAATCACATGGAAAGCATCCTTCAGTGTTGAAGGACCTTTCAGCTGTTGGAGCATTGCCCAGGCAGGGTCTGCTCCAGAGAGCATGGCCGCCCACAGCGGGAACGTCAGTGGAGAGGGTTACGCCTTTCCTCTGAGAGTCCTCTTCTGCTTGCTTTGTAAAGGACCAGTAGCCCAGGCACCCAATTACTTGTTTCATGAAAACATAGCTTGTACTTCAGTGTTCCTCAAACTTGAGTAATAGAACCCTTTTAAACAACCCCTGCATTTTCATTTAGCTTAAGGGAAATGTGACCTAAATGTGTGAAAACCTAAAATCAGGTATAAATCCTCTGTCCTTAAAGCCCCTACCTCAATATAAAATCATTGCATACTTGCAAATTATTTTACAAGCACAGCTAGAAAACTATGAAAATTTGCATGGATCACGTTAATTTGGTGTGACAGGTGATGCTGTCCTTCTAATATTAAACTCTAACAGTGAGTGTGGTGTGGGTAGCTGGGCCCGACTTTTTGCGTCTGGCCTGCACATCCTTCCACATGCCCTGCCGTTACTCGCTGTCCCTCTTTCAAGTTGAGAGCCAGGAAAATGAATGCTGTGCGTGTCCACGGGCAGGAATTGGTTGCTTTGTTCAGGGTTGCCTTTGTAGGTGCTCACTGAATGCTTGTGGACTGAACAGAAGAAGGAATAAATGATCAGTTAAGGCCACATTCATACAAGGTATGTAATAGATATTTGAGAATGAATGACCACAGTGACTGGGGTTTTGTATTGTTGGTAGAGTGATGTGTGGCAGTAATTCAGCCATAATGAAGGTGAGAAAAATCATCATCGCCGTTGCTAACATTTGAGGGCTTGCCAAGCCTTGGACATGGGTTAACTCATTGAATCATACTTGGCGGTCTCTGTGATGGAAAAGGTTCCCAGTATTTTTAAAACAGATGCAGATTTTTATAAGGAGGTGCCACATTGGCCATTCTCTCTGTACCTTTTATTCAATTTGAATTGTATTTATTTGTTGGAATAATATATTCCCCCTGTTCAAACAGTGTAGAACATGACATGGGAAAAGTCTCTCTCTTATTCTCTACCCCAGGCACCCAGCCTCATTCCCCAGAGGCAGCTTGTACCCCAGGCACCCAGCCTCATTCCCCAGAGGCAGCTTGTACCCCAGGCACCCAGCCTCATTCCCCAGAGGCAGCTTGTGTTGATTTTTGCCTTCACTTTTTAAAAAATAATACTTTTAAAATAACGTTTTTTAAAGTTAAAAAGTTCAAACAGGTAAAAAGAAACGGTTTCTTTTCTAGTTTTGTTCAGGCTCCTGACTTGTATCCATCCCCAGAGACAATTAGGGTTACAGGGTCCTCGTATGTCCTAACAGTCATCTATCAGAGGTTCTCTACTAGGGGCGATTTTGCCCCTCAGGGGATACCTGGCAATGCCTGGACACATATTCAGTTGTCATGACTGAGGCTGTGAGTGGTGGTCAGGACGTGTCCAGACTGGTCTACCTGCTAGGAGGAGGTGGGCTCTGAACCTCTCCTCTCTGGCCAAAAAGACAAAGCCCCACGCCAAATTCAAAACAGCTAGGAATCAAGTTAGAGGGACAGTTCCTCATTAAAGTCATTTGTGTGGAGGTCAGGGTTGCTGCTAACCAGCCTGCAGTGTCTGGGACAACCTCCCTCAGCAGTCAGTTACAGCCGAAGTGTCAGCAGTGCCGAGACTGAGAAACCTTGGCCTATGCATATGTAAAATAAGCAAATACAAACATCCACACACATTTATATACAAATGGTAGATAAGCCACACCCTGAGCTACGCCCTATTGCCTTTACATTTTAAAACAAAACAGGCTTATCTAGGCTAACTTTGCAAGACAGTTTTGAATACCCTGATTCTGAAAGCTCATCCTCTGAACATTGGGCAACAGGTGTGGGAGCAGGGCCAGCTTAGCCCAGAGCCCTCTGATTTTGTATTGTGGACTGGCTGGGTCTGCCTCTGTCTCCTGTGGTTTTCAGTCCCATAGTTAGCACACCTACTGCCGATGCTGTGGAATCCCTGTGTGCTAAAACACACCACAGGGTCGGAGCTCCTTTACACAATGGAATCTCTGTGTAGCCAACCCTCTGCCAAGTTCTTGATTGGAACAAGACTCCAGCCCTTTCTTCCTGTATCACTAAAATATTGGGACAGTGCCTTCTAGTCTTATCATAATCAAATTTGACACTAAAATGCCTGTGGAAAGGAAGGAGTGTGCTGGTTTGGCTGTTCTTTCCTGCATTGCTCCACTTCAGCCGGATTTGGCTTCACCCAGCCATGAGGGACAGTCTCGCATTAATGCACTTCCTTCCGAGGATGAGCAGCCAGCCAAATAGGCAATGGTCTGAAGGAGAAGCCAACCTTACAAGAGCGTAACTGATTGCTGCTAACTGTGGCTCATTCTTTGGATTTTGCTTCATAGGAATTGCTGCTTAATACAGGACTCAGGTAGCCCAGCCTGGTCATTTCTGATCCACGAAGCAAGAGGTTGAAAATAGTGCACACTTTCACGCAAATCCCGTTTCTTTTTTTTCCACCAGGTCTTCTTAATTATACATCATGCACCGCTGGTGAACTCATTAGCTGAAGTCATTCTGAATGGTGATCTGTCTGAGATGTATGCTAAGACTGAACAGGATGTTCAGAGAAGTTCTGTAAGTCACTAGCTTTGAGACCGTTGCTTGACCTTAATAAGACACCATTGCTCATTTTGCTAACCTGCCTGTTTCTCTAAAATCAGAAACTAACGTTCTGAGTATATAGCAATGATGATAGATAAGCTGGTCTGGGATTCATTGAGCCTAATCAGAGTCCTGATTGCATACCCAGGAAAAGCTGGGGTCGGGTACCTGGATTTGACTGATTGTGTGTTCTTAAACATGGATTGTACGACTCTGGGCCTTAGTTGCACATCTGTGTTATCGGGACACAGAAAATGCTCTATCGGAGGAACTGATATCTACAGAGGTTGGGCGATGAACATCCATGAATGACTCAGGCCCAGGTGAGGGCAGCAGAGAGTGGTGGGGTGGGGGGTGGGAAATTGGAGCGTATACGCCACCTTTGCGAGCAGCCTCTGTTTCACCCCAGGCTGCTGCTGTTATGCAGGAATATGGATGTAGGATTACTAGGTTTATTCATGTTTCTAGAGAAGCTGGAAATCTGCATTTTTGTGTGTAATCTTCAGTTTTAAATGATCACCAAACTTTGGACTAAACAGCACACTTGTGGTTTGTTGGAGCTTTTGGAGTTCCATCTGGTTATCACCAACCCTTGATGGCCAGTGTTGTGACTTCTCTTGAAGCTTTCCCATGGTGTCCTCTGTATATCTTTTCTGTCATTCCTCACATCCTCATTACATGTCCTGAGCTCCAGCTGCCTTAATCCTGGTCTGACTTACCTTTCCCTCAGCATGTCCAGCATTTGTGCCTCCAAACCTGTGCCTTCACAGTATGCACAGCCTGGTTCCTGGTGTACCTGGAACCAGGTCTTTTGAAAGGTCTTGCCCACTCTAAGCTCCTTCTGGCAGGGATCTCACCTGTCCCTGAGTCAGCTGCAGCATAAGTGAGATGAGTGCAGCGCGTTTTATACCAGGGTCATTTCCTACGGGTTTCCTCCCTGCACCCAGGTGCTTAGGCAGTGGCCAGGCTGGTAAAAGGACCAGCTTGCCCTGGTGCAGTAGACCTGCTGCCCCACCTGCATGAATGTGTGGAATGTGACCCTGTGAATGAAAGGCCACCACTGCGCAGAGTATAATTAAAAGAGGCTCCTGCCCCCTGTACGAGTTTTTGGTGTATGTCGGTCTGGCCAGGTTGTTTTGTTATTCCGGAGAGCATTACCGCCTCTGAAAAGCTTCACAGAAACCCTGTCCTTGTTCAGCTGAATTGAATGGGGCCTTTTCATGGCCCCTGTCTGGCCTATCCCTTTCTTGATTCACTCAGCAGAGCTGATAAAGCTCTTTCTTCCGGCCAAGTGTTGTGCTAGTTCTGGGGATATACAATGTCATAAATAGTCTGTGCCACATTTGAGCTTTATAGTGTAGTAGAGAGATGGACATGGATCAGATATGCAAATAAATGTACTTTCTCAGCTCCTATAAATGCTCTATAGGGAAGAAATGTTTGGTGCGAGGATTTGGCTTGGAGGTGACAGGGGTGATATGTTAAACAGAAAGACTTCCCTAATGTTCCCTCTCATGACAACACATGGCCAGGCAAACGTGCAGCTGACTCAGTGTTTATGGGGCCACAGATATTTCTCCGCAACTTTCTTCATGTAGCGTTTGCTAAATGAATGTAAGTCACAGAAGGCTGAGTCAGCAGAACTAGTGGGGCCTCCGGTTAGAGGTGCCGTGTGCCCCCACGACCAGCTATGTGGCCGTGGGCAAGTTGTTTCTTCCCATTTAGAAAACCGGCGGCGCAAGCCCTGCTCTGGAGAGCCGATGGAGATGGGGGAAAATATAAAGTGTCCATCAAGTGCCTGATGGGTTACAAACTGGCCCCAGACCCGTTTGGTTTGGCCTGTGCAGTGTTTAAAAGAAAACTTTTTGAATCGCCAACACTAAAATTTAGGAAGAAAAGTCTGGGTTTTTGGAATCTCCAGTAGTCAGATAGCTGCCATGGCTTCGTCTCAGATTGTCTTACTGTAAGATACCCTCTGCAGTGCTGAAGTTAGACTTGGTGTTCTAAGAGACAAAACCAGAGATTACTGGGCTCTGGGATTTGCAGCATTTTTTATTTTAATTTAATTTTTTTTTTTTTTTTTTTGAGATGGAGTCTCACCCTGTTGCCCACGCTGTGGAGTCCAGTTAGGTGAGATCACTGCAGCCTCTGCCTCTGGGTTCAAGCATCAGCCTCCTGAGTAGCTGGGACTACAGGCATGCGCCACCATGCCTAGCTAATTTTTGCATTTTTAGTAGAGATGGGGTTTACCATGTTGGCCAGGATGGTCTTGAACTCCTGACCTCAAGTGATTTGCCTGCCTTGGCCTCCCAAAGTGCAGGGATTACAGGCATGAGACACTGCACCCAGCCTGCAGCATTTTTGAAGTTGTGATAAGAACACAGCATACCCTTTTAACATATTTTTATTTGTGTACCTAACATTATTGTTGAGTATAGATACAGCGTTGTTCAGCAGATTTCTAGATCTCGTTTATCTTTACCTGACTGAAACTTCAGAAGCTTGATGTGCTATCCATTGCTCTGGGGACACACCTGTATGACTGACACTTCACCCATCAGACAACAACTCTCCATCCCCCCAACCCCAGTAGTCACCAGTCTACTCTCTGCCTGAGTTTGACAATTTTAGATACCTCGTATCAGTAGAATCGTGCAGTGTTTGTCTTTGTCACTGGTTCATTTCACTTAGTGTAATGTCCTCGAGATTCATCCTTGTTGTGTGTATCAGAGCTTATTTCTTTGTTAAGGCTGAATGTGTGTGTGTGTGTGTGTGTGTGTATACCAAGAAATATACCACATTTTCTTTTTTTTCTTTATCCATTTATCCATTATTATGCAGGTTTTGTTTTGTCTTGAGACAGAGTCTGGCTCTGTTGCCCAGGCTGGAGTACAGTGGTGCAATGTCAGTTTACCACAGCCTCTCCCTCCTGGATTCAAGTGATTCTCGTGCCTCAGCCTCCCAAGTAGCTGGGACTACAGGCTTGCATCACCACACCTGGCTAGTTTTTTAATGTATTTTTAGTAGAGATGGGGTTTCCCCATGTTGGCCAGGCTGGTCTCAAACTCCTGGCCTCAAGTGATCCACCCACCTTAGCCTCCCAATGTGCTGGGATTACAGGCATGAGCCACCACGCTCGGCTATTATGCAGGGTGTTTTTAAATTCAAATTTTTTACTAAGATAATTATAGATTTGCATGCAGTTGTAACATAATACAGAGGGATCTTCCTCAGTTTCCCCCGGTGGTAACATCTTGCAAAACTCTACTACACTCTCACAAGCAGGATATTGACAATGATACATAGGATTTATGTATGAGCAAAAGCAAATTGCAGGTTACTGGCAACCTCTTGGTTTAGGACACTGGCCGTAGCTGAACTGTTTAGTGAGAGGAAGTGTGTAGGAGATCTTTTCTTTCTCCCGATGGCCTCTTCTTGGGATGAAGTTCTCACCTCCCTTGTGAGAGACATACAAACTGCTTTTGGAACATAACTGCTGGTCGTGGTGGACACCTGAGCTGAAAATGAGACTCTAGTGTGGAGGGAACTGCCAGCCCACATATGTCGGCTTTCTGCTTCCAGGTGCTACCTTTCCCTCAGTGTGAAGTTGAAGTTGGTTGTATTCTGATGATTATCGTTCAGATTTGGGAAGAGCACAGGCTGAATCCCATCTGTGACTTGTTTGACAATAGTCCTGGTATGATTTACCTTCCTTCCCTATGAGCAAGAACAGTCTCCTATTGTTTCCTGCCCAACTCGGATGTGGTTTGATCATACTTGTTTTAAGTTTCTTGGTCTTTTTTAACCTACTTTCTCCTTCCCGTAATTTGTAGATAAGTTACTGGTATTGCCTCTTTTTTACCAGCAGACCTTTCACAAAACCAAACCAAAATTGAAGAGAGAGAAGCAGAAGAGAGATCACAGTTATTTGAAAGGACCATAATTTAGGGTTAACACATCAGCATGGTTAGATGAATGTCTAATAGAAATTCATCTGTGCATTAAAATCATATGGTTCCTGCTCAGGGCTAATTCTTGCTATAATTCGAATGCAGACCAGATAGTGTTTCTTGTGTGGGGAAATCGAGCAGGAGAATACTAATTCTGAAACTGCTAACATCTCATTGTTTTTGCAGAATGAACATATAGATTAGAATTTGGGATATGCATCATTTCTTGTAGGTACTTTTTTTTAAAGGACTTTTTTTCCTCTTGAATTTCTGTGGAATAGTTTTCTTCCTTTTTGCATTCATTCATTCATTCATCTATTCATCCATTCCTTCAGCAGACATCTGTCGTATACTTGTGCTGAGAGATGAGGGATGTGGTGATGCACAGGAACAACATGACTCCTGCCCTCCCTGGGCTTCCCTCCTTCCGTGAGGATGGGACCATGTCTCGGAGATGCCTGTGCTACCTGTGCCATCATGGGGTTTGCCAGAGATGCCCAGGATGTGTTTGGTTCAGGCATGAATGACTCAGTGGGTGAAGTGCTAGCAAAGTTACAAGGGCTCTCGTGACATTCTCGTAATGACTGTCAGAGCAGAAATCACTTCCTAGCCTGCCCTTTGAATGCTGCCTTTTCTTTGCCTCAGTGGCTAGGTTTGGAGTGGGCTGCTTTTGGTGCTGTTCCACATTCTGCTTCCAGAGGCAGTCTCATGGAGCAAGTGCTGTAACCAGTTTCCCTGGGCTCCTCAAATCCTGATTTTACTAGGTATACCAGGGAGAGTTATTCCGCTTTCCCAGGCCTCAGTTTCTTACCTGTCCAGTGAGAATAGCAAATGTGGATTTAGGATGAGAATTAAATTCTGTGTAAAGTGCTTACTCCAAAGCCTTTTTATGTACACAACAAGTGCATAAATATTAGATGTTATCATAATAATGATCTTAGTTCCTGAGGCTGCATAGTGACCTGCCACCTCCTAGCTGGGACCTCCTTCCCTGGGCTTACGAGCTGTCTCTGGACTGATGAA